AATAAACCCTTTAAATACCATATGCATGCAAACAAAAGGAGGATACAGCTGCAGATCTACAAAGTGAATAAAAAACAAATAATAGTGTAACACTGTTAAATGAGTGTGAATGCGCTAAGCGGAATATCACTCACTAGAAGGATGAAAGAATATCGCCCAAGGGTGCCTCCCCTGATGGAGTTGGGGGGTAAAACCACTCCTCCTGTTCTGAAGATGACGGAGTCAGACTCAGAATTATAGAGTAGAAAATTCTTCTTTATTAAAATAAGTATAACAATTAATATAAAAGCTCTTATAGTGCCAGGTCCTACGCGTTTCGTCCACAAAGGACTTTCTCTGGGACGTCCTGGTATTAAAATTTGTAACAGCAATAACAATTACAAGAATAAGCAATATAATCCCTCCCCCCTGAGTCCATTCTTTTATATGGGTGGCTAATCTTCTCATTGGTGTTCCGTTGGGCGTTGTTTGCTTCATTTCACAATAAATATGGGAATACTAAACCCATATATAGGAACCCATCATGGTTAAATTGTAAAACATATTAATATTAAACAATCAATTTAGTTATTATTTTAACTCAAGAATTCATAATGACCAGTGTATCTCTAAATAGGGAATATTTTTCCTAGAACGGTGTATATTAGGATAAAGAATATACATATAACAATTTAAATATATATAACCCAAAAAATGCAAATAAATATAAAAATGAAAATAAGAATAAAAATAAATTAAAAATACAAATAATTGTAAATAACAGTGAAAATAAAAAATAAGAAATACGAAATAAAAAATAAAATGTGAAATGAAAATTGAAATAAAAATAAATTAAAATGAAAATCCACATAAAGTAATACTGACAAATAATATTGATACTGCTAAATATTATATATAAATAGATAAAAAAATAAAAATGAAAAAAATGACAAATATATGGAGATTATAATAGTGAAAATAAAAAAATAAAAAATGAAAAAATTCATTTAATCCACTTTTTTTTACAAGTTATAATTATTACAATGGTCCATATAAGGGGAATATTGCATTTCCATTCACATTAAAGGAAGCAGATAATGTCTATTTCAGCGTTGAGACTTCCGGGTTCTGTGGCAAACATAGCCACTTGGACAATATAAAGAGACTGTGCCTTTAAGGTTTGCCTGTATGGTTGTGGGATATGTGTTTTACTCAGTGTAATGTATGCTGGCTGTAATTAACGTGTATTTGCTGTATTGGCTATCTGCCAAATGCAGATAGCTGTTTTTCCTTTCGTTTCACGAACGGCACTTTTGCGGGCCGTTCGTGAACCGAAAAACCCCCATGTAATAGCCCACACACTTAGAGGCGTGTGGCGCTTGTTAACCAATTGCAACAATGTTGCAATCGGTAATTAGAGGCTCTCCTAGGTGGCCGCCGTTCGACTACCGTCCATGCGGCGGTCGGCCATCTTGGATCCTTTGTTCCCTCTGCGGTGTGTGGTCGTCGAGCGCATGGTACTAAAAACGGCAACTCGACGGTGCGAACACCGCTGAGCTTCCAGGCCGTTCGGGAGTTCCGGGCCGTACGGTATTTGGTTCCCTAGAATGCAATCGGTCTTTTGAACATGTATTTTAATGAATGTGTTTTTCGTGCAGCGTTCGGTTGTTTTAGCTGGGATCTGAGCGGTAATCTCACGAATGATGCGCTCAGACCCCAGCTATCTACCGAACGTCCATTCGTGCAAATAGACCGCATATTCGAAAAGTTATGCATTTTAATATAAATTGTCGGTTCTGCTGCACGGAGGGATAATCCACTTAACGGTACATTCCTGTTGGAGGATCCCTCTTGTGCAGCAGTGCCTGATGGGAGAAATGTCCTGTACAGTAAGTTCCCCATGTAGTCCACTCTGGGAATGCCCCTGGGAGAGGACTCAGGAAACCCCTTGCATGGGGAATTGTATAAATTGTGGAGCTGAAAATAAAGACCTCAGTTGACTCTCAGAACTGTGTTTCGTCCGGTTACTGGGAGATTTGGGATATTGCCTTGCTTTTTCCAGTGCTTGACTGTGGATTACTTCCTGAACCAGCGGAATTCGTGGATTTAATATTGGCGTTCCGTTACAGGTTCCAAGGTGCCTAACTGATTAATCCAGACGGTCTCTTTATGTGCTAACCTCTCCTCCCTATTTCCCCCACTCCAGTGGGGTTTTATATGTTCAATAACGAAACATCTTAGTCTGCCATTTGAAAATGGGGCAGTTATTACAGTGAACCGGAACTGTGTGATTGATGTCTTTTTTCCTTATATTATTCTGATGTTCTAGGAATCAGATTTTCAGTTTTCTCTTGGTTTTGCCGATATACTGTTTGCCACACAGACACTGGAGCATGCATACCACATAGTCCATGTGGCATCCAATACAGTCTCTGATCAGATACTTTTTTCCGGGTACCGTACTAATGAAATATTTTTTATTCCCACTTTATTCCCTGTGGTTTTACATGATTTGCATGTTAGACATCCTCTAAACCTGCAGATTCAGATATTTCTCTCTGGTTATTGATAGTTTTAATAACTTAACTAGGTGCTAGGGTGTTTTTTAAATTATTTATGTTTTAAAAAATTATAGGAAGGATCAGGTAGGAGAGGTCCTAATAATTTGTCTTCCTGTAGAATAGGCCAATGTTTCAATATTGCCCTTCTGATTTTAAAATTATCTGTATTATATTTTGTAATAAAGGAGTGATCGTATTTCTTAATACTTTCTCTATTTGTGTAGTTCTTTTCTTAGGGTTTATCCTCTAATAGATTGATTTTATTTATTTTTAAAATCTTTTAAAGTTCCTTCTCTTAGTGATTTTTGTTGTATTTGTTGAAATTTGTTTTTCACAACAGTGGCTTGAGTTTGAAATTCGTTTAATTTGGAGCAATTGTGACGTACTCTAGTAAATTGACTTTGGGAAATTCCTCTGAGCCAAGGATCATGGTGACTGCTCTGTCTATGTACAAAGCTATTGCCATCTGTTTTAAAAAAAAAAAACATTTAGAAGTAATATCAGATCCATTATTAGAAAGGGTCACATCCCAAAAATTTATTTTCTCTCTGTCACAATTCGGGAACCTAACACGCTAACAGGACACAGAGAGGAAGGATGCTATACCAGTCCTTAGAGTGGCCGAGCTAAGCACACTAAGAATGGTCAGGAGACAAGCCAAGTAAAAGGAGCCAGAAAACAGGAGAACGAGAAACAAGCCGAGGTCAAAGGAGCGGAGAAGACAGGATAATCGGAATAACGAGCCAAATAATCGGTAACCAGAGAGCAAGACGAGAAAACTACACTACAGGTATCACAAGACCACAACAGGGCACTGAGAGGCAGGAAAGGTAAGTATAAAGAGACGCCGCTCGCCGACAGGTAGGAGGAGGGGAGACCGCGGGCGGCAACGGACTGAAGGTGAGTGCTGCAAGTGGCGTGCAGCCTCCCCTCACAGCCGGCCACGGACCCATGACATAACCCCCTCCTCGAGGACTGCCCAACGGACGGGAAGCCAAAGGCTTCAAAGGAAACCGTGCATGAAAGGAGCGGATCAAAGAGGGCGCATTCAAGTCAGAAGCAGAAACCCAAGATCGCTCCTCAGGGCCGTAACCCTTCCAATCTACCAGATACTGCAACCGACCCCGAGAAAAACGAGAATCAAGCAGAGTAGCCACTTCGTACACATCACTGGAGATACCGCGGAGGGAATCCGGACGCCTGAGAGGACCAGAGAATCGATTACAGAGCAGGGGCTTCAAAAGGGAGGTGTGAAAAGTGTTAGGTATACGCATGGAAGGAGGCAATGCCAGGGAGTAGGACACAGGATTGACCTTACGCAATACCTTATAGGGGCCAAGGAACCTGGGCGCGAATTTCATCGAGGGGACCCTGAGGCGGAGATTCTTAGAGGACAACCAAACCCTATCACCCGGGACATAAGAAGGAGCTGCACCCCTACGACGATCAGCAAATCTCTTCTGAGTAGCAGCCGCACGAGAAAGAGTAGCATGGACCTGATCCCATATCTTCCATACAGAGGTGAGGTGCTCGTCCAAAGCGGGTATTTCATTTGTAACGGCACCCTCAGCATAAAAGGGTTAAACTGCCGTTTAGTAGATCTTCCCTTCCAGAGACACAGGCACAGCTACTGCAGAACACCAATCCGTCGAACAGGAAACCATATGAATGCTGTAAACAGCCGAATAGGAAAAACCATATGAATAGGTTTACACTCCTAGCAGTCAAACTGGAACAGCATACAATAAATCCCCCCAAGAACGAGACAAAGCTCTGTGTTGAGGGTCAAGCAGTGAACAGTCAGAGCTGTGGGTTTATTGTGCTTATGTACACATTAGTACCACCCACAGGGTTTTGGAACACAACCAATAAACACATACAATACACTCACACACTCCCACACAAATTCCTCCCCTCTGCCTGTGATTCAATTACCTTACACAATGGGTAATGTAATTATCACAAGCAGAGAAATTAAATTTTTCCACATTATTCATAACTTGAAAAGTATGCATCACATTCACATAAAACTTACATTTTCAGAATCAGCATACTCCATATGTCAAATTCATACAAATTGGTCCAATGGTTCAAAAGATAGATCGTAGTCCTTTGTGACCAAAGGAAGCATGTTTTTTCTGCCCAAAACCAGTACCTGGTTGTCTTTGGAGATAATTGGATTACTATCCTGGAGATAATTGGGAAGTAATCCAATTATCTCCAAAGACAGAGGCAAAACTCCACTGAACACATGGCAGCCATTGCACAAAACAGGTACATTCAACATATCCCCAGATAGCTCAGATCTGAGCACACATTATTACTGAATGGCGCTCAGAGCACACACATACAGATCAATTGCCATGGAGCCAAAGTCTTTCCCATAGTCTTTCATTATACGAATAGGCTCCATGGCATAGCTATCTGGGGTATCACCGCTCAAACAGGGCAAGCACCAAATGACCCGGCTTTCATGTCTTTGCAGGGGAAAATCAAGCCTTTTAACATGGGGCCATAATCCAAAGGCAACAGGCGAGCAACCAGGCTTCTCCAATGCAATGTGGCGAGATTGGTCTCGTCACAACCTTGTCAGAGAACACGCCGGGAAGAACAGAGGGTTGGAACCCATAAGCAACCATAAAAGGACTTAAGCCAGTGGACGAATGAGTCACAGTGTTCTGGCGAATTCAGCCCAGGGAAGGAGGTGAGACCAGTTGTCCTGGTGCGCATTCGTGAAGCAGCGTAAATATAACTCTACAGATTGATTTGCTCGTTCGGCAGCTCCATTAGATTGTGGATGATAGGGGGACGTAAATGACAAGGAGATCCCCATCTCAGCACAAAAGCCCCTCCAGAACCGAGAGACAAATTGAGGACCCCTGTCTGATACGATATCCTGTGGTATACCATGCAAGCGGAACACCTCTTTGGCAAATACTTGAGCCAACTGAACCGCAGAAGGTAATTTCTTAAGTGGAATAAAGTGTGCCATTTTAGAGAACCTATCAGTCACAGTCAAAATTACTGTCTGTCCAGCAGATGAAGGAAGATCTACAATGTAGTCCATGGATAAGTGGGTCCATGGTTTCTTGGGCACAGATAGAGGCATTAGGAGTCCCGGGGGTTTAACATTAGGGGACTTATACTGTGCGCAAACACGACAAGCCTGCACATAATCCACTATGTCTTGCTTAAGTGAGGGCCACCAAAATTGTTGAAGGAGACCCTTGTATGTTTTGGTAACCCCTGGGTGACCAGCCGTTTTGGCGGTGTGAAATAAAGCTAACAATTTCTTTCTATCTTTTTCTTTCACGTATAATCTACCAACAGGTGTCTCAGAGGGTGCTCGGGTTTGGTATGTCTTGATACCATCAGGGAAAAAAGACGAAATAACCAAATGGGTAGCAGCTATTATCTTAGATGTAGGTACAATGGGTTCAGGAGGGGGGCAATTGACTCCAAAGGTTCGTATTGTCTGGAGATAGCATCAGCCTTGACATTACGGTACCCAGGCCTATATGTGATAATGAACTGAAAGCGTGAAAGAAATAAAGACCATCTTGCTTGACGAGAGGACAACCTTTTAGCATCTGCTATATATGAGAAATTCTTATGATTAGTTATAACCAGGATTTTGTGTCTAGCTCCTTCTAATAAGTACCTCCATTCTTTAAAAGCCATCACAATAGCTAATAGTTCCCTGTTCCCAACGTCGTAATTCTTTTCCGAATCAGAGAGCCTTTTAGAAAAGTAAGTCTTTGTGATAATACAGCTCCTACACCTGATTCTGAAGCATTTCCATAACAAAGGGAAGGGAAGGGAAGGATCAGGATGGTGTAGCACAGGGGCAGTGGCAAATGCCTTTTTGAGAGTCTCGAAGGCTTTAACGGCTTCAGGAGTCCAAACCCTGGGGTGCAAACCCTTTTTAGTCAGTTTCGTAATAGGAGAAATGACTGATGAAAAGTTTTTAATAAACCTCCGATAATAATTGGCAAAGCCTATAAATCGCTGTATTGCCTTAAGGCCTTGGGGAAGAGGTCAAAACAATATGGCTTCTAATTTTGAAGGATCCATGCTGAATCCCTGTTCAGAAATGACGCACCCTAGGAATTGTACAGATTTTTGGTCAAATAAACATTTCTCTTATTTACAATAAAGACCGCTCTGCAGCAATCTCTTAAGTACCATCCTCACATGGGCATGATGTGACTCCAAATCAGGAAAATACACAAGTATATCATCGAGATAAACCAAAGCACAGACATGCAGTAAATTTCTAAGGACATAATTTATGAGGTCCTGAAAGACAGCAGGAGCATTACACAGTCCAAAAGGCATGACTAGATACTCGTAATGCCCACTGCGTGTATTGAACGCTGTCTTCCATTCATCATTCTCTTTTATATGAACCAAGTTATAAGCCCCCCTGAGGTCTAGTTTAGTATAATATCTAGAAAATTTAACACGGTCAAACAACTCAGTAATGAGAGGGATAGGATAAGCGTTTTTAATTGTTATATTATTCAGGCCCCTGTAGTCTATACATGGCCTCAAATCACCCTCTTTCTTGGCAACAAAAAAGAAACCAGCACCAGCCGGAGAGGAGGACCTTCTGATAAAACCTTTACGTAAGGATTCCTGTATGTACGCCTCCATGACCTGGTTTTCTTTCTCAGAAAGCGGGTAGACCTTACCCCTGGGGGGCATAGTACCAGGTAACAGGTTTATGGCACAATCATAATCCCGGTGTGGGGGTAGCTTATCAGCCTCCCTTTTTTCAAAGACCAATACGAGGTCTGCATACACAGGAGGGACAGAAACAGAAAGTGGTTTAGCTGTAGGCACATTAAGTAAGCAAACGGGACGTAAACGGGCCATACAGTCTTGTTGACAGGATTCCCCCCAGGAGAGTATATCTAAACAACCCCAATCAAGTACCGGGTTATGCATAACTAACCAGGGAAAGCCCAGAACGATGGAAGCTGTAGGGGAGTCGATTATTTGGAAGGTTAACCTTTCCTTGTGTAAGACACCCATGGCCATAACCATTTCTTGGGTTTCATGGGTCACCAGAGTTTTATCAAGTGGTCTCCCATCCATGGCCTCAACGGCCAAGGGTGTGGCCTTTTGGATCAGTGTCAAGGCTGCGGTTTTTGTAAAGTTCTCATCCATAAAGTTGTCTGCAGCACCTGAATCGATCAAGGCTTTAGTTGTTATAGTGGTTTGATTGACCAAAAGACTAACAGTAATAAATGGTCTGGAGGTGGACACATGAGGGGAAAAAAACATAACACCCGAGGCCGACCCCTCTCTAGGCCTTAGGTGCTGAAGTTTCCCTGCAAACTAGGACAGTTTCTTCGGAGATGCTCCCTCTTTCCACAATAAAGGCACAAGCCCGCCCTTCTGCGGTACGTTCTTTCAGCTTCAGTTAAGCCTACAGCACCTAATTGCATGGGTTCGGGAGGTGGTTGATTAGGAGGAGGTAATGCTAGTAATGCAGTACTGGGTAAAGCAGGTAACCCCTGTGTGTCCATCCTTCTTTGAATACACCTCTCTCTAATACGGTTGTCAATAAGAATTATATAATCTATTACATCATCCAGAAGAACAGGCAATTCCCTGGATGCTATTTCATCTAATATGTGGCGGCCAAACCCTCCTGAAAGGCTGTTACGAGGGCGTCGTTATTCCAAACCACTTCAGCTGCCAGAGTGTGGAATTCAATGGTATAGTCCGCTACAGATCTATTACCCTGTCGGACCCTAAGCAGAGCTTTGCCAGCAGAAGCAACCCTGCCGGGTTGATCAAATGTACATTTAAAAGCTGTACAGCAAAAAGTCTGCAAAGGACATTGGGGACGTATTCTCCCACATGGGATTAGCCCATGCTAGAGCTTTCCCGGACAAGTGGTTGATCAGAAAAGCAATTTTGGTTCTGTCAGTGGGGTAGAAACGAGGATTCATCACCAAATGAAGATCAATTTGGTTGAGGAAACCATGGCAAAATGCTGGATCACCGCTATAGCGCTGAGGTGGCGTCATGTGAACCACGTGAGCAGGAGTGGGTACTGGATCGGGAATGGGTTCTGGCACAGCAGTAACAGCTTCTTGAACGACAGGTTGCAGGTGGGCAGTACGAGCCATTATGGTTTGTAAAGCCTGGGCAAACTGATCCATACGATGGTCTGAACCATTCTAGCCTCCTGATTTACTAACATCTGTGGAATGTCAGCAGGTTCCATGGTGGCCCTGTTGTAATGTCACGATTCGGGAACCTAACACGCTAACAGGACACAGAGAGGAAGGATGCTATACCGGTCCTTAGAGTGGCCGGGCTAAGCACACTAAGAATGGTCAGGAGACAAGCCAAGTAAAGGGAGCCAGAAAACAGGAGAACGAGAAACAAGCCGAGGTCAAAGGAGCGGAGAAGACAATATAATCGGAATAACGAGCCAAATAATCGGTAACCAGAGAGCAAGATGAGAAAACTACACTACAGGTATCACAAGACCACAACAGGGCACTGAGAGACAGGAAAGGTAAGTATAAATACCCTTTGCTTAATTCTGATTGGATAACTTCCAATCAGAATTAACAATCACACGTGTGAGATATCTATGCCTCCCACTGTGATTGCGGTACTGTTGCTTTAACGCCGGGTCACCCTTTTCAGTCTCCTTAGATATATCTGCATATTGTTAAAAGCTCCAAGGTGAATTGTTAGTGTAGGAAAATGAGGTTTGCCTTGACAGGGCAGATGAGCTTACACTTTAGTAATACCAAAAACACAGTTATGTAAACCTGCATAGGGTTTTGGGATAGTTCACATATAACTCTCTTTTGGTTTTTGTTTTGTGTTAATATTATTTAAAAAAAAACATACACCTACTGTTTTCAAATGAATACATCAAATAAGCTAATGCTTTAGGGAAAGAGGTCACAGTTAAGTACATTAAGATTTTTAAGGAGTCGCTGACCTTATAAGTAGGCAGACTTGTTCCTGTTCAGTCCAATATTATAAGGTAAAACTCCATTGCAGCTGATGATGATTAAAAATGATGGGATGCTAAACTCTACCCACAGAATTTCACCATGCTCTCTGACTTGTTAGGCTCTGCCCACTTCACTTCATGCACTAAACCAAAGACCCGATATAGAAGAAGACACAGTCCTTATCTAATGCAATATAACTAAAATTTCTGGGGGATGGTTTTGTGAATCCAAAAATTGCACCCTTTTATTTTTTTATTTTAATATGGTGACTAAAATTCAGCCGAATCCACACCTTCTTTGATTCAAAGAAAATATGTTTCAGTATGTAAACCTTTTTGCAGAGACATGGGCATTTAAATATTGACAAGGAAAAATTCAGTTAAATAGCTGTTTGCATTGCGATGATCAAGACAGGTCGAGTCTCCTATGTCTTGTGAGGGATCTCTGATCGCTAATGAATTTGAAATGCTCACAATCTTTTCCAGCCTCTGAAATAAAGTGGTTAAAAATATATCAAATAATGTTTTGAAATCGTCCCATCTTTCATTTCACCATGCTTTTATTCCATTCAAAGGTGCACTCTTTATTCCCTCTCAATGATTTTGGTGGGTACGATGATCGATTAGAAGAACGTGACACTTACTGTGGAGAATCACATTTCCGGAGATATTTTTTAGAAGGGCCCAACAATTATGTAGATGTCTACAGCTTATTTAAGGTAATTATGTCATTATTTTTGTTATACCCTGAATTCATATTTCTAAATATCTATATTCTTGAGTAAAAAATTAATTGTATGTTTACATAAAACAGATACTCTTTGTTTCCTGCAGGGCCATTGAGAAAAGCCTAAAGATTGTATTTATTTATTTTTTTAATTTAAAAAATATGTAAGTAAGTAATTCAGAAATATACATATATTCAGTTGATTGAAAAAATCTTTAATGGATATATATAAATATATATATATATATATATATATATATATATTATATATATATATTTTATATATATATATATATATATATATATATATATATATATATATATATATATATATATATATATATATATATAAAGCACAAATAATGGCACTCACCCTTCCTGATGTAATGAATAGTAAAGTGCCCTGGTGCAATCTTATGCTGATAAATAATTATATTGAAGAAAGATGCACTCTTCGGTCATTTTAAGAATATTAATGGTCTTTAATCCATCAAAGGTTTACAGGTTGCTTGATCAACGTTTCGACCCGTTCAGGTCTTCCTCAGGATCAACTTATAACCATAAAATCAAGATATATATAGAAAAAGATAAACAGTACTCACCAATGGTGATGTGATTCCCTCATCCATTCAGTCCACACCTGGAAGTGAAAACCAGAAGTCACGTGACATGCAGGATCATGTGAGAGTTATGCCAGTGAGTGGAGTTGCTAGGAGACCAATGAAAATATTATAGGAATGGTCTCATATCGGTCTGTGATTATGAAATATATGTGGGTAGTTATTAAATTTCATAGGTGAAAGCAGTGTATATAATCTACACACATTCATTAAATATATGTGTCAGCAAGTGATAGAAATACAGTGTCATAAAGTGTCATGTGTAAAAAACGATCTTACACCAAAGTGTCTGCAACCAAGGTGAAAATAGATTTGTGTAGTTAAACATATATACAAATACCAAATTAAAACATATATGTCAGCCATGGACATAAACTAAAGTATATGTTTTTTGTGTATAATATAGATTATCTGTTATTTAAAGGCATAGGCAGGAGCAATTTGAAAGGTCACAATGTATACCCCATAATAACTCTCTAATAAACAGAGGAGCTTAGAAGTATCAACATTTGGACATCGTTCCCTAAACATTAGGAACAACAATTGTTTTATATCTTATAGCGCAATCCAAGTTTTGCAGAACTTTTTTATATGTATATATATATATTATTCCACCTGTATATTAGCTCAAAAAGAAAGTTTTTATCTATTCAGTCCCCTTCACCCTATCCCACACCTGGAGATAGGGTGAAGGTAATGAGGAAAAAAAAAAATGTCCAGATGTCAAAAGGATGACATAGGTATCTCTCGAATTGAGATTAAAGATTAATGAGAAATAGTGCCCAAGGATATAGATATGAGACTACCAAAAATCTAAATAAGTGAAAAGAATAGAACTCTAAACTGCAAAAAAAATAAACAGTACAAAATGTATCCAAAAAATAAAACATTTGAACAATCTAGATCCTAGACATATAATATCTTCATAGCTTCATATAGAGAGGATTAGGAATTTTAAAGGTATACATTATAACCTAATTTAGAAATAGCAGATTAAAGAAAAACTGAGTACACAACAGTATCACATCACAATTGGTGAGTACTGTTTATCTTTTTCTATATATATCTTGATTTTATGGTTATAAGTTGATCCTGAGGAAGACCCAAACGGGTCGAAACGTTGATCAAACAACCTGTAAACCTTTGATGGATTAAATACCATTAATATTCTTAAAAAGACCGAAGAGTGCATCTTTCTTCAATATAATTATACATACATACATATATATATATATATATATATATATATATATATATGCATTGTTACATTAATATATAAATATAGGATCATTTCATTTTTACATAATGTAATATAATAATAATAATACAAATCATCAGACTACTAATATGATTTCCTTATAGATACAGCATTGACTTAGTTAAGATAGTTGCAATAAAGTCAGTAGAATTGTAACGTATGAAACTGATATGATGTACAGGAGCAGGAGGAATTTTGGGAAATCTTAGTAGATTTCAGGCCTACTGTCCTGACGGCATTTAGACGCACAATTTAAAATCTTCCCTAAACCTAAAGTCCTTTAAGAGATCCCTCTCTACATACCTCAAAACAGAATGCACCTGTCATGGTTAATTATATATTTCCTGCCTGTTCTATGTTAAATTTTGTATATATTGTGTATTAATATTGTTTTTGTGTTTTATTGTACCCTATTGTATCAATGCAATGTTTATGTGGACCCAGAACATACTTGAAAACAAGAGAAATCTCAATGTATCTTTCCTGGTAAAATATTTTATAAATAAATAATGTTTTTATAATCTAACAGTTAGAATTTTCCTTTGAATTGCAGGACATGCGCTTGAAAATAATGACCAATGCGAACATTAAGAAGCCTGTAGAATGTCATCATTTTGTTATTGCATATAGTAACACAGCAATATTCAGACCAATCTTTTTACGTCGAAATATGAAAGACGTTGGTGAGCTACTTTTAAAAAATAAATAAACAAATATATATATTGGAGATTGTAGCCATATTAGTCCAGTGATGCAGATGTAAAATAACATAGAAATTATATGTGGGGTTTTTATTGGACTAACGGAATTTTATAATGACAAGCTTTTGGGAGAACCCCCCTTTCTCAAGTTTAAAGCAAAGACAACGTGGATGTACATATATTTGTGCATTTGGTTGTATTTATATGTATATCATTGTATGTGCTTGTCTATACTTGTTCACATCCACTACTTGTGTATATGTATATGTGCCTGTGTGTCTGTCTATGCTGTATATAGGCCTTTGTGCATATTCTGGAATTCTTGTATGTGAATTCATGCATTCTTAATCTAAGTAATTCATTTTTTACTCTCCTTTTCTAGCACCATATTTGCTTGTTTTTCTCTCTCTCTCCCCCCTCACTCTGTGATCCTCACAAAAGATATTTAAAGCCCTCTTTATGACTGGTGTCTATTTTCTATCCAACCTGTGCCTTATCTGCACTCATGTCGCTTTAACCCCTGTATCACAATTTAACTTTAAATTCTATGTGTCGTTGTGCTTAGAGATGCTTTAGACTTGAGAAATGGAGGTTCTCCAGAAAGCTTGTCATTACAAGATTCTGTTAGTCCAATAAAAAAGGTATCACAAGATACACATTTTATGTTATTTTACATATATATATATATTTTTTTTTTTTTTTTACATTTCTTCTATATTTGAGTTCTCTGCTGGACCACCCCTTTTTCATTTTACTAAGAATTATTATTGAAAGACACAGATGCGCACTCACACACGCACATAACTATATCTGTGTATACACATGTATTTTCTTTTGTTCCTTGATTACTCAGATGTCCTTATTGGTTGACCAGTACTTGTGTGTCCATCTTGATATAGAAATCCTACATGTACCTAGTCCTGTCATTCCCATCTACCCTTTGTGGCATCTCCTATCTGGACTTAAGAAAGTCTAGCCCATATAAGATGCAGATATAACTATTCACAATCTTTCACATGGCTGGGCTGTGTCTGAAATCATATTGCATAGTCTGCATATTGGGTCCTGTGTAGTGTGATAGACCCACACTTCTCTTGTGCTATATGTATATTCAGTAACCATTCTGCATACTCATCAATTTTAATTTACCTTAGATGAAACTGAAGTAATGTCTGTTGCACCAAACAACATCCCAGATGAGCCAAAAAAGACAGAAAAAGTCAGACAATATTTCCCTGAGACCTGGCTATGGCAGCTAAGCCTTTTAGGGTAAGGAACTGGACTGTTTAATTTCAAATATTTACTATGACAACATTAACTTCTATTAGATGCTGTAGTAAATCTTTATCACAGTGACGTGTTATGTCTAATTGTTTTGATATGTGTCACAGAGACTCGGGCAGTGTTCAGCTCCATGAGACAGCCCCAGACACCATCACGGACTGGAATGCAGGGGCCTTCTGCTTGGGACCCAATGGTTTTGGAATATCCTCCGCAGCCACTCTTAGAACATTTCAGCCATTTTTTGTGGAACTCACACTGCCATACTCTGTGGTCCGTGAAGAGTCCTTCACCCTCAAAGCCACTGTCTTTAACTACCTGAAGGAGTGTATAATGGTAATGGATAGATGTTAATCTCTAGTGTTAAAATTATGTAGAAATTAATAGCATTAAAACATCTAATAAAATTCTATAGAAATAACAATAAAAGAGTGAAACAGAAATTTGGAATGACAGGTGTTCAGGAGATCCTCCCTTTCTGAAGAAATGCTTTAGACCGACAAAGGAAGAATCTCTTGAAAGCTTGTCATTGCAAAGTTTTGCTAGTCCAATAAAATTACAGTCCATATAAATTATTTTCAATTAACAGCAAACACAATTTTCATATGAAATCAAATATTTAGTAGTAATAGGAGATATTCTTATATTCTATACCAACAATGAAAAAACTATAATGCAGTCTGTAATATCCATCAGAAAACTAAAGTTAATATAATTAAAAAAGCTTCTTAATAAAAAAAATCAAACACAGGGATAAAATCAGAAATGGAGTTAGCATAGTGTAAAATAAATAAGCACACTATTTTGTAAAATGTGTATTTTCACACCTTAAGCATAGTTCTTAAAAACATATCAATCCAGTAGAAGTTGGTTATTCTATTGTAAAAAGACGTAGTGCGGGTGACGTCATGCAAAAGTCGCACACACACGTTTTGGGGTCAAGGGCTAGCTACAGCCAATCGGATCTGCAAGAGGGTTATTTAAGCTAACTTATTCCTTAGCTCATTGCCCGGTCGTGGTTTCCCTTAGATGGTTATTTCCTGATCTTGTTATTCTGGTTTTTGGCTTTTGACTTTGGCTTCCTTTTGACTTTCTTGATTTCTGGTACCCTTGACTTTTGGCTTTTTCTTATCGCTGTGTCTGGTTTAGTGATGTCGCGAACACAACATTTTCGGTTCGCGAACCACGAACGCGAACTCCCGCAATTGTTCGCGAACCGGGCGAACCTGGTGAACCGCCATAGACTTCAATAGGCAGGCAAATTTTAAAACCCACAGGGACTCTTACTGGTTGAAGGGGGGGGGGAGGAGACCTATTCTCCATCCCCCCCAAAGCCCCCACCCCTGGGTGGCGGGTGGGGGCCATAAAG